GACTTTTACTAATGATTACAGTAGGTATGGCTATATCTACTTAATCAAGCATAAGTCAGAAACCTTTAAAAAATTCAAAGAGTTTAAACAAGAAAGGGAGAATCAGTTGGGCAGAAAGATTAAGATGCTCCGATCCGATCGGGGTCGTGAGTATCTTAGTATTGATTTCCTTTACTATCTTAAGGAATGTGGAATTGTTTCACAATTTACACCTCCTAGGACACCACAGCTGAATGGTGTGGCTGAGAGGCGCAATCGAACCTTGTTAGACATGGTTCGTTCCATGATGAGTCAAGCTTTGTTACCAATCTCATTCTGGGGGTATTCCTTAGAGATTTCCGCCCATATAATTAATCTAGTCCCTACCAAGAAGGTTTCCAAAACACCTCACGAGATATGGACTAGGAAAGTTCCCACTTTAGACCACATCCAGATTTGGGGTTGCGAGGCCTTCGTGAGGCGCGAGACTCACGAGAAGCTCGAACCTCGAAGTGAGCGGTGTATTTTCATCGGCTACCCACATAAATCTTTTGGTTATCTCTTCTACAGACCGAGTGACAATGTTGTCTTCATGGCGAGGAGAGGAATCTCTCGTGAGAGAGAATTCATAAGCCAAGGAAACAGTGGGAGGCAAATTGACCTTGAAGAACTTCAAGAGTCAAGGGGTGAAGGAACCTCAAACACTAGCAATCAACCTGAGGAGGAAACTCCTGTTGAGCCGATTGATGAGTCTGTACCTCTGAGCCGTTCCACAAGAGTTAGGAGCACACCTGATTTTTATTATGGTTTCCATATTACTACAGAAGGTGATACATTTAACAGTGATAGTACACTGATAAATTTGGATGAACATAATAACTTCAAGGAAGCCATGGCAGGCCCTGAGTCTGCCAAATGGAAAGAGACTATGGACAGCGAGATTCAGTCCATGTATGACAATCAAGTTTGGAACTTGGTTGACAATGTACCGGGTCGTAAGGCAGTCGGATGCAAATAAATCTTCAAGAAGAAGACCGACATGGATGGGAAGGTAGACACATATAAGGCGCGACTGGTTGCTAAGGGCTTTACTCAAACTCCGGGAGTTGACTATGATGACACCTTCTCACCAGTAGCGAAGATTAAGTCTATGAGGGTTATGCTAGCCATAGCTATTATGAAATATGGCAAATAGATGTCAGAACCGCTTTCCTTAATGGAAAGTTGGCTGAGGATGTTTACATGAGTCAGCCAGAGGGTTTTGTTGATGCAAAGTACCCTAATAGAGTGTGTAAGCGTGAGAAATCCATCTATGGATTAAAACAAGCATCTCGCGGATGGAATCTTTGTTTTGATGAGAAAGTCAAAGAGTTAGGCTTTTCGAGGAGCGAGGATGAGTCCTGTATATATGTTAAGGCTAGTAGGAGTATAGTTAGCTTTTTGGTATTCTATGTGGATGACATACTACTCATAGAAAATGACATCCCAACCTTGCAGGAGGTTAAGTCCGGGCTTGGGAAGTGTTTCGCTATGAAGGACCTTGGAGAAGCTGCCTATCCTAGGGATAAGGATATTGAGAGACAGGAGTAAAAGACTAATTGGACTTAGTCAAAGTACCTACTTGGATAAGGTGCTGAATAGGTTCAGCATGCAGGATTCCAAGAAAGGTGACTTACCGATGTAGAGTAATGCCAAACCGAGTAAGACTCAGAGCCTGAGTACAGATTCTAAGATAGCTGAGATGAGTCGAATACAATATGCTTCCACTGTAGGCTCGATCATGTATGCTATGACTTGTACTCGCCCTGATGTGGCCTTTGCTTTGAGCATGGTCAGCAGATATCAAGGGAATCCTGGCAAGGCTCACTGGACTGCACTAAAGAACATTCTCAAGTACCTGCGGAGGACTAAGGACTGGGTCCTTACCCTTGGTGGGAGTGATGACTTAAGAGTAGTGGGGTATAGTGATGCCAACTTTCAGACAGACAGGGATAATTTACGCTCTAAGTTGGGCTAGGTCTTTACCCTAAATGGAGGAGCAATTACTTGGAAAAGTTCCAAACAGGAGACAGTAGCTGATTCAACTTGTGAATCAGAGTACATAGCAGCAAGCGAGGCGGCGAAGGAGGCAATATGGCTGAAGAACTTCATTGGAGACCTTGGAGTTGCACCAGCTATAAAGGAGCCTATGGAGATTTTCTGTGATAACGAGAGTGCAGTTGCCTTAGCCAAGGAACCAAGGGATCACGACAGATCCAGGCACAGCGACAGAATATACCACTCTGTTAAACATCGAATAGAAGAAGGACTCCTCATGGCAGAGAGGGTATCATCGGATAAGAACCCAACAGATCCCCTCACGAAGGGACTGAGCAGGGTTAAGCATTTAAAGCATGTGAGGCGCATTAGGCTGAAGGATGATGTTAGTTTTAGTAATTAGATAGCTTTCGAAACTTGTAATAGCTGAAATGTAATTGACATTTGATGTTTAAATAAAAGGTGTTTTTATTTACTAGTATGGTACTGTCTTGTGTCAATCATTTACTATTGTTTCATTTTCCATGTTTTGACTTCCAGAATAATTATATTATTCAAACTATCCACATTCGATCATACTTTGGAAGTAGGTATTGAAATAAGACTGTCATGAAATGGGTTTGTAGATTTCTCTGAATTCTACTACACATAACAATTGTTGCTGCAACATTCATGATGTTGGATTAGATGTCTAAGCCCATAACTATTATTGGTATGTACGTGACCCGAGAGTAGCATGGTCCATTTGGGTTGCATATGAATTGAAGTTTATTTGTTCCTTTTAGTCCTTGGAGGATTAAAAGCGATATCTTGGGCCCATCGATGATTTTTTTTACTTATGTGTCGGGCCCGGTCAGAACTGAATTGATGTGTTCGATTAAGTTTTATGTCAAACAAATAGGAAATTGGGAAACAAAGTGCTGGACAATAAGTACGATGTTGTTCCATGTATTTGTCCAGATGATATCTTGAGAATAGAGGATTATATGATCACTTATCTAAAATGGTACAACTTAGTTCCACGAGTCTTTTAAGAGCTACGATTGCTGGTCGGATCCTGAAGTCGTACTTGCAACTATAGTTATTAGACTTATCCAAGTGGGAGACTATTTGGATAAGGTGTCTAAGTCCATAACTATATTTGGTATGTACTTGACCCGATTTAGCATGGTCCATTTGGGTTGCATGGCATCGGAACAATTTGGATAGACTTTTGTGAGAAGAAGATATTTATGATTTATTAATATATTATAGGTTCTAATATATTAATATGAAATCATATTATTTAATTAGTATTGATCAAGAGTTAGTTTGGAATTAATTTAGTGATCAAAAGAGACTAATTTAGTAAATGGGGATTGATTTGGTAATTGATTCATTCTTATATAGTGGGATTATGATCCATAGTTCTTCATGTTGGCCTAAACCCATGTAGTGACCCATGGATACTCCATGGAGGTTAAAGCCCATGGATCATGAGGAATGTGGAAAGTCATGAGTTACATGGTGTAACCCTAATGTGAGACTATATAAAGAAGCCTCATAATAGCAAAATCGGCACTTAAGATACACAAGTGAGGGCTAGCTGATTTTGGTGCAATATAATCTTCTCTCAAGTTATTCCAATTGTTAGTAGTGTTGTGTGAAGCATTTGAGGCATCACAATTGGGATGCTAGGCTCACAAAGTCTTAAGGAATCAACGCTACAAGAAAGGTATGTCATTCTACTAGAATTTTCTATTACATATACCCCATGATATGCTAGTTAGGATGAAACCTTGGTAAAATGAAAGTTTGCATGTATAATAGAGAAAACATAGATCCAAGGTTTCTAGAGTTGCATACGCACCATAGGATTGTTAGAATGCTTAAAACCAACAACGTTCAAGTAGCATAATAGGATGATGCTGCTAAGCATCTACAGTTTGGGAAAGGGTTTTGGTTTATATGACCATAGGCAATCGGGTTATGAAGCTCACATCCATTGTAATAATTTCAAAGAAATCATTCAATTTAACACCAAATTTATTAATCTTCAGTGTAAAAAACATGAAAGAGACTAGTTTTTAAGCGGAAGGATATCCTAATTTGTTAATCATCACTTTGATATAGTTGATGATAGGCCAATTACTCTGTGTGAAACAACTACTACAGGGGGTCACATAAACAATAAACCTGATAAAGAGACAAAAGATGAAAGAGATGTTGGATAAGGTGTCTAAGTCCATAACTATATTTAGTATGTACTTGACCCGATTTGGCATGGTCCATTTGGGTTGCATCTTCATCTCAACTGTTGGAAAGACAAAATGAGAATAAGGACACTTGTGGTTTGTTAATATATTATAAGTTATAATATATTAATATGAAATCATATTATTTAATTAGTATTTATCAAGAATGAATTTGGAATTAATTATGTGATCAAAAAGAGACAAATTAAATATATGGGGATTGATTTGTAAATCATTCATTCTTATATAGTGGGCTTATGGTCCATGATTCACTAGATTGGGCTAGGACCCATTGGGTACTCCATGGATGATCCATGGAGGTTAAAATCCATGGATCATGGGGGAAATGAAAAGCCATGCACATTAGGGTTTACATGGTATAACCCTACATGTGGCACACTATATAAGAAACCTCATAAGGAGAAAAATCGGCCACTAAGACAAGAATAAGAGGGCTAGCCGATTTTGAGTGAAAGTGTTCTTCTCTCAAGTTATTCCAAGAGTTTTGGTGTTGTGTGAAACATGTGAGGCATCACATTTGAGGTGCTAGGCTCACAAGGTCTTAAGGAATCCAAGAAACTACAAAGGTATGTCATTCTACTAGTTTTTATATTACAAGTACCCCATGCCATGTTAGTTAGGATATAAACCTTGGAAAATTCTTATTTGCATGAATATTAGACAAAACATAGATCCAAGGTTTATAGGGTTGCATGTACACCATAGGAGTGTTAGAATGCTCGAAACCCATCAAGAGAATTCGAAGTTACCTCTGATGATACCAAAAGCATCCCAAGCCTTTAGCACATAGGCTTTGATGGTAGGACCGTCGGCGCTGACGTCGAGCTCCATCGCCACTGCTTGGACATCGTTGTCCCTGCCTTGACTCCGATGAGTACCAGTGATATTCAAATTGCTAATTACATCGCACAGAGCCTTAAGCCGGTCTGTTCGGCGGGCGGCGGCATTAATCCTGCAACCGGCTTTAGCTAAGTCGATACAGCCTATGCCGGAGAATGCACCGGTTACCATGACGATCGTCCCTCTGAGGTCTCCCCATGGTTCCAGCTCACAGCTAGTTGCCTGCTGAGTAGAAACCCTAATCGATGATCGAGACTGATTTTTAGAAATTAAGTGAAATGAAAATTAACTCCTACTAAACTGTTCAATTTTTTGAAAATTAACTCCTACTAAACTGTTCAATTTTTTATACTAATTTATAAAAGTTCAATTAAAAGTGGGGTTAGAAGGATCGTTGATCTGACGGAGGCGAAGGCGGCAATGACGACGCCATTTGACATAACCATTTGATGGAGGTTGAGGCGGCAACTACGAGTACTCCATCTATCCACCACCGAACAGTTTAGGTCATCGACGATCTTCTTTTTCTTCAATTCATCAATGACGATCTGAAGAGTAGGGAGTGTGGATGGCGGAAGATTAGGTGATTTCATCTCTAAATCCGGGATGAAGATGAACATGAGGGAGAGAGAAAGATGATGAGAAAGAGAGAGAGAGAGACTGAGTGTTGTATTTTCAAAATTAATTTTGATTAATTATTAGGTATTTTAATTTTTATTCCTTAACTACCCTTGTAATTTATTGTAAAAAATCAATGTTACCATTGAAATTGTTAATAATTACAAATATGTCATGTTTGATCTAGGCCGTTCAAAGTTTTGATCTAACATTCCACTTTTAGTTCTCGGGTTCTTGGGAAACTATAGGTTCTCAAATGATCCTTCCCCCACCTCTCTCTCTCTCTCTCTCTCTCTTTCTCTCTCTTTCTCTCTCTCTCTCTCTACATATATATATATATATATATATTATATATATATATATATATATATATATATATATATATATATATATATATAATATATATATATATACACACACATTGTATACATTAGTGTTTTTAGACAAAAAGTTGTTAAATAGTATTTTTCTTCTTTGTTTTTCTTGGAACGACAAGATTTTATTAAGTAAAAACTAGCAAGGAGCTAGTAAAATATCAAGACAATTACAAATAAGAAAAGCTAAAACTTGATTAATATATTAATTATAAATAGTTAATAATTAATTAAGAATTAATCACAATAAATTGGAAATTAATAGTGGATTAATTAGAATTATTTAAATGTATAATGACTGAATTTCAATTGTTTAATAGTTGACCAAGGAGGCAATTCTAAAACCTTTGTTGGAGCATGTAAATGCTCTACAAATTATTAGTGATAAGTTAAGTTTATTATTTTCCCTTTTTTTTATTGTTGGTGTTTCTCTGTCCTATATATATAGAGAGAGTTGGTCATTGTAAAAGCTAGAGAGAGTGCACTCACAATGTAGTTTCTGGAGATAGAAAGTGTGGTGAGATCTCTCACACCAAGGGAGAGTTATCTCTCCCAACCATGTTCTTCATGTATTTTATTTTATCTCTCTTTTCCAGTGATTATGAAACTACTCATCTTCATGTTCTTCATTTATATTTTTATGATTGTTAAATCTCGAGATACTATTATACCGCATCCACTGATAGTCAAATGGGTTTCAACAAGTGGTGTTAGAGAGGTACCTTAAAGGTTCAAGCGACTGGCTCAACGGAACGACTCCCGTTAGGTGTTTATGTTGAAGATTTTTCGTATTTTTTCAAGAATTTTCGGGTTCAAACCGGAAATTTTTATGATAAGTTTTTTTTTTCTTTTTTATGTGTTGATTCAATCTTAGAAGAATAAAAAAGTTACTGATGTTCGTTCAATTTTCTGCTGGAAAATCATGTTTATAAATGTTCTTATTATGTTGTGGAAGAAAAGAAGAAGAAAAATGAAGAATTGTTTTTTTGTGGTCTTAAAAATTGTTGAAGATTTGGGCCAGACATTTTATTTATGCTTTGGAAATGAGACACAAAATTATGTGCTTTTTATTGAAGAAAGTGGAGCAATTTTCTTTGAATATTTTTTTTCCAGCAACTTCATATGTTCATCATAAAAGGTATGACATTCATGCTTTTCAACTCAATATGTTGATGTAAATCTTCAATATTGTGTGTGTGGACGTTTTAAGTGGTTTGCAAAAAGTCACTTGCCCTATTTACTCTATTTGGAAAGTCACTTGCCCTATTTACTCTATTTACAACAATTTTTTTTATTTAGCCAATTATTTTTTTTAACACGAACTTTTTTTATTTAGCCAATTATTTTTTAACACCAATTTCTTTTATTTAGCCAATTTTTTTTAACACCAATTTTCTTTAAAACCCAATTTTTTTAATACCAATTTTTGCCACAACCAAACCTTTGATAGTCATATTGGTTTACTTCATGCTGATTATATTGTAAAAATTTTATTCTTTTCATGAGGATTACTCCATATCGTAGTAAGACATCATATTATTCTTCGCGATATTTTCACTGCAACGACGCCTGATCAACAAAGTTGTTTCACATTCTTCGCTTTATGGGATTTTTATGACTTGTCGCTTTTGATCTACGGTTGACCAACCATGTATCTTGAGCATGTGGACTTTATTTCTTTTTAAAGTCCACTTCAAGAGTTTCGGCACCACAGTTTGGGTATATCGGTATTATTCAGCACATCAAAGATTTTTTTCACGCAGAGTTATTATTGTTACTTTGGTATTTGATCGAGCATTTTTCAGCGACTGAACCAGCTAACTACATATAACAGTGGAGTATTGGTTTTACTCTCATTCTCTTGTTTTATCGAGACCCTTCATACATTTAGGGAGAGCTTGCATAGCTCTTGGTATCCTATACTCTCCATCCTGATGATTTGTTGATTTTTGATATCAAGTCATTGGTTATCGAAAATAGGGAGAGAATATCATCCGAATGTAATTTTATGATTGTTTGAGTTTGGATTTTTTTAAGACTTCTAAAGACGATCATTTATTTAGTGATGCGATGTGACACTGATTTTTGGTATTCACAGATCAAATTTTTGGCATTACTAGATGTTTCCTGTATCTAGATTATTTATTATTCGTACTCTACCACTGGATGATTCTTTTGTGCTTGCATCCGGTTCAGATCTTATGATTTCTCGATTTTGGATTTTTGATATTTTGAAGACAAAGACTATTTTGGAGATGTGATGTGGCACTTATTTCTGATATTCCGATGAAATTTTTGGCATTGCTAGACTATGTCTTTGACTCACATTATTTATTAATTCGGACTTCACTCTTGGATGCTTCACATTTTTAGCAGGTTATTCGTTGAAATTTTTTGGGTATATTATGATTCGAGAATTAGAGATGTTTTTCAGACTTCTTGAAGCCGAAGTGTTTTTATGATTGGATCTTCTATTTGATCATGGGGATTATGACTAGTTTGAAGATTTGGATCTTATTTTTCTGCTTCATTGGTAGTGCTTTGAAGTCGAAGACCTTACTGTTTAGAGATTCATGGCCAACATCAGAGATCACAGACACTTTAGAGTTTCAGAGATATTTCAGCATTTGGTTCTCATTATGTTTCATTTTATTACCATACTTGCTAGTCGGTTACTGTATTTTAGGCTTTTATCACATTATTTGTATCCCTCATTATTTGCGATCATTTAGGGAGAGAATGTTGGAGCATGTAAATGCTCTACAAATTATGAGTGATAAGTTAGGTTTATTATTTTCCTTTTATTGTATTGTTGGTGTTCCTCTCTCCTACATATAGAGAGAGTTGGTCATTGTAAAAGTTAGAGTGCACAACAATGCAGTTTATAGAGAGAGAAAGTGTGGTGGCATCTCTCTGTAACATCCCAAATTTCAAGCCCAAAAATTTCATTTTTAATTAAGTAATTCACAACATAGTTTACCAAAACATTTCCCATGCCATGTCATTTGTAAAAAGAAACTTAACAATGTGTCTGGAAATCATATCGTCAAAAGTAAAATAAATCAGAGTACATTCCCAGAAAACTCCATGCGGAAACCATGTGTGTGTGTGTGATGCGCTGCTACACCGCCGACTCCTTCCCCTTAGACGAAGAGGTACCTGAAACCAAAACTAAAACTGTAAGCACAAAACTTAGTGATTTCCCCTTCATACCACATACCATACAATCACCTAGCATACATAATGTCGGGCAATTCTGGGGCGCCCGTCCTACCCATGTCAAGCCATTATGGGCAGCTGACCTACCCACGTCAAACCATTCTGGGGTGCTGACCTACCCATGTCGAGCCATTCTGGGGTGCTGACCTACCCATGTCAGGCTATTCTGCGGGCCGACCTACACTCCGGTCTTTCAACCGAATACGGGGACTATTTCACCCCCTACTGCTAACACATAATATCATATCTCAATCATGTATTCAGTCATATCTGGGGTGTCCGACCTACCTGTTGGTCCTAACGACCGATTCGGGGCCTAGTCCCCTTCTACTGATACTATCTCACATAACATAGCAAACTAGCAAAGTCACATATCAAGCAAACTAGCATACTCTCATATCAAGCAATAGCAGACCAGACATTTATCACAAAGACAATCATCTCAGCTAAAAATCTACTAGTGGGCCGGCCTTGGTGCCTTAGACCCACTTCTACTGGAAGGTAACTCATCTTGATATCGCGTAGTGTCAGAACAGTCCTCGGTGTGAAGGTCGGCTTTCCTCGACTCCTCAATCCCTACACGAGTTGGTCTACCAGTTGACTTGACTCGCCGAGTTGGTCTACCAACTAGTCGAGTCCATACTTCACTAACCCGATCCAACCCCGACTCTACTCGTCGAGTCTAGCAAGAACTCGACGGGTTCTCCTTCATTCAAACCATCGGGACCATCTTCATCCAACTCGCCGAGTTCATCCCTGAACTCGTCGAGTTCATCTCCCTCATAAGAATGTGTCCAATCCATGACTCGCCGAGTTGTATGAACAACTCGTCGAGTCCTTCTTCAAAGATTGGGAGATTGCCTTGGACTCGCCGAGTCTGTTCATCCACTCGTCGAGTCCCATGATTCCCAGGCCCCCTTTTTGCATCTAAACAACGAAGGGACTTCCTTCCGTAACAACTGGTCCATCCACATAAATGATTTGGTGGTCAATACACACCGACTCGCCGAGTCCCAAGAACAACTCGTCGAGCCCATCCATGACCATTACTATACAGTCGATTTATATGGGTCTTAACTCATCAAAACCATAGATCTGGTCCCCTAATGTCCATTTTACACGTAAAGTTTCCAACTTGGTGCACATGAATGGGGTCTTTGGCTCAAAAGGCCATTAAAAGTGATCCACAAGATGCATGGGGATCTCATGGCCATAAAGTTGGCACCTTTATGCCATGAGACCCTTCCAATCACTCAGATCTGATGTCAAGACCAAGACAGGGGCATTTTACCTTGATTGAGCTAAAAATGGAACTAGATCCTTGAATCTCTAAGCCCAAACTCGAACTCTCAAGCTTCTTTCTTCTTCTCCAAGCTACACAACCCACCAAATGTACCAAAATGGCCTTA